ATTAATTTATGTATTATTTTTAGGGCTATCAACTGATTAAAAACATCTGTGAATGCATGTAATTTTTTATAAATTTTATGTATTAAGTTTAAGGGCTATCAATATGGATCAATAAAATATGGATGCATTTGCATCCCTAAAACCCACTGAATGAATTTCCTTCTTGCATCCTAGTAAGCTTCGGTGCAGCTCACAAACAGTTACATTTTAATCAGGAGTGTGTTGCTGTTTTTCTAGGGTAATTACAGCAGTAACACTGCAGCAGAAAAGGCAAAAAAAATTCCATAAGTACCCCCAGTCACGGCCTCTGCCTCTGTTTGACGTGTTTCCGCTCACTGATGTCCCGCTGTCACACTACAATAGATCGGAATGTGGATGAGATATCTGCTTTAGGGAGAAATACACACGTACTGTAAACAACACACACACACACACAATTAGGAGCCCATCCAGTGGATGGACAAGCTGTGTATATGTACACACTAGATTTTGAACTGTGTATGTGTGTGTGTTGTGGCTACAGCTGGCTTTCTGCAGTGTTTTAGTGAAGGAGACAGATGTTGTTCACTGGTGTTTAGTGTACAGTGCAGCTGTCAGACTGAAACCCCGCACCTGTTGAAGGGATGGTGGAATGAATTTTTCATGCATTTTTATTTGAGTAATTCTTCTTTATTATTATTATTATTTATTATTGTTGTTGTTTTTATTTTCTGTCTGTCAGCCGATTCAAATATTTAATGATTTTTTTCATGCATTTTTAAGTTCTAAGTTCTTCTAATTCATTTTAAACGTGTGTTGTGATGTTTTTATCGTTTGCTGGCTGTCGCTCTCGAGTGCTGTGTGTGTTCAGCCGGGCCCAGCAGAATCTCGCCTGATCTTCCCAATCCCTCGGGCCGCTCGCAGACGTCCACATCTGCCGCCGGGATGTCATCAACACGTGACATGCCGCTGTGGATGGAGAGTTAATATTTGATACACAATATAGCCTCTTTCTCTCGATGCCTTTCTTGTTCTCTCATTTTTTTTTCCTCACGAAACAAAAGACTCAGCTTTGCTCCCTTTTACAGCCTTTTAGCTGTAACAAAGAGAAAGGGGAAAGAATGATATAAAAATGCATTTTATTGAAATGTTTTGAAATAAATGGAATCGCATATTCAAAGTTGGTTTTGAATATAAATTCAATGTGTTTCTTACCAGAATTGTTTTGCCATGCCTGTTAATACGTGACCTCGCATCTCTCCGTCACGCGCTCCACTATTTCTCTCCTGCAGTGACTGTCACAGGATTGCGCTCGCGCTCCGTTCGTCTCACTGACACATTTTTTGAGCAGCTGATGTGGGATCTCTCCTCAGTACTCGTGGCCAGTAATGCTAAAGTGAAGTAGTTTTACTTTTCTGCAGTTTTTCAATGGCTCTCGGTCATACCGAGCAGATCCCTGAGCAGTCGAAGTCTGCGCATTTATTGCATGGACGGAGCAAAAATGTTAGTGTCTAAAGCATACGCACAGTTCCATTGAATGATAAATGTGTTTTAACAATGTTGGACAAAAGTGTGTTTTTCTGTAACCTATGGTTCTCTAACCATAAAGGCTGCTGTGTAATTTGCCCCCTGACTAAGCATTTAAAGAATTTAGGGGAAGCCTAATAATCCTGTGAATGTGAAAATAATCCTGTGAATGCACTTATAGAATGCAGAATCGAATTGTTAATCGGTGAGCGGTAATGTCTTATATAGACAGGTGTGTGGCTTTTCTAATCAAGTCCAATCAGTATAATCAAACACAGCTGGACTCGAATGAAGGTGTAGAACCATCTCAAGGATTATCAGAAGAAATGGACAGCACCTGAGTTAAATATATGAGTGTCACAGCAAAGGGTCTGAATACTTAGGACCATGTGATATTTCAGTTTTTCTTTTTTAATAAATCTGCAAAAATGTCAACAATTCTGTGTTTTTCTGTCAATATGGGGTGCTGTGTGTACATTAATGAGGAAAAAAAATTAACTTAAATGATTTTAACAAATGGCTGCAATATAACAAAGAGTGAAAAATGTAAGGGGGTCTGAATACTTTCCGTACCCACTGTATATATATAAACTTATTTTAACATTTCAAATTTTTTGAATTAATATAATATTTTAATATTTATTTGTTAAAATTGTAAAACTTTATCTCTTCCTTCTTCCTACTACTAATACCTTAATGCTGACGTTTGAATTAGCTCATTCATGTTTCCCCGCAGCTGTTTTGACTCCGTCAGTAAACCCACAAGAAATCAAGCCAAAACATTTAGCACAGGTTTTCCAGAGCCTCCGTCCCCAGAGATGCTGCACGCTCAGGGACGCAATGTGCAGTGTCCCACAACAGCACAGCTCCATAAACACAGTAAACATTGCGTGACTGACAGGCAGCTACTTTATAATGCTAGCATAGGTCAATTAAAATAAACAACCAAAAAAAACATTTAAATATAAAATATGAAAATATAAAATAAAATAATATATAAAATAAATATAATTATATATAAATACATAAAATAAATAAATATTTAATAATATAAAAAAATTGTTCTTCATTGGGACACCAAGGTTTAACAAAAACCATAAATGTTTAGACAAATTGTTGTGCTCCCCCCCCCCCTTTTTTTCTTTCACAAAATTATTGTTTTTAATAATATAGATATTTTTATGTTCATTAAAATATGTCTCAAGGAATAACGTCAACCTCTTTGTCACTCATTGTATCATGTCTTGACAGGGGTCAGGGGTCATGACAGGTCATGCGTCAGGACTATTAAAAGGGTCAGAGGTTGCTGCAGGAGAACAAAAGGAGCCAAATGTAATCATCAAAATTAGTTTTCATGACATCTAGAGGCATTTGCTTGAGTGAGTTTTTGGTTATGGAAATAATTGGTGTAAATAGTAGTTCAGCTATTTTGGACATTTTTGGACAATAACAACAAACAAATGTTCGCCACTGTGCTGAGCACTTCACAGGTTTAATATCAGCCACAAGATGCCACATTTGACACATTTGTTTATGTCGTTGCTAGATGGTTAGGAGCGAGAGCGAGGTGACCTTTCTCTCACCGTGCCCAAATGCGTTTTCCACGTATGTTCTCACAAGTGAAAAGTGCTTCCTCTTTCCTTTTCTGTCTCTCTCTTTCTCTGTCAGTGCAAAAGCTTTTCAATATCCCTGTTCTCCTGGCCTGGCCTGTCTCTCTCCATTTCCCCTGTCGTTTGTAGGTCAGTTCCTCCACTAATGCTCAAAAGAGTTTGTCTTGTCCTGAGAGAGGGCCACACAGAGCAAATCCATTAATGGCCACGACGAAAACAGCACAGACTCATTTTTAGAGCGCGTATTGAATATTAAGTAGAAGAAAGTATGGCATACCTTAAATTACATTTTAAGCGATTTTTCGATGTTAAAATACTTTTTTCCTGTCAGTTTAATATATTTGTATAATTAATTAACCTATTTCTATCCACCTTTTTCTTCAACGCAGAAGTAAGCCTATGGGTGAGACTTCCGGTTCATTAGCCGCTATAGGTAAATAACGAGGAGAATAACAACGTGCAGTAAACGGTAAAACTGTTTGCACTACAAATAATTTCAGATAATACATTAAAATAATATGATAAGACACACCAACTTTCAATATCAAGCAGCAAAACGAACTGTTTTGTTCAGCTAAAAATAGCTGGACGGAGTGGACGCAGATGAAACCGGAAGCCATACCCATATATTTTCCAAATGGCCGCGCCCATTTTTACGACAAGAAAAAGGTGGATAGGTTGAGATCCTTGAATCACTGTGTTTCTGTGGTGCTATAATTGCTCTGTTTGTTTAAAAATTCAGACCAGCCTTGCATGGCAACAGTGGCTCAGCCAATGGCGTGAGTTTGGGGCGGGGCCATCTGTCCGCCTGACCAGTGGCAGAGTGTATGGGAAACCTGTTTGAAAACTGTATTTTAACTGAATAGAACATAATTTAACTAATTTAGACTGTTGCGTAAAATCTCTGCTTCTAAGATTTTAATTCTTGTGTTTCTTCTCAACGATGTCTCAATCTCTGCTCAGTTTCTGTAAAATCTGTAATAAAGTCAGAGATCTCAATATGAACTCAAAGACTTGAAGACTTAAAGGGTTAGTTCATTCAAAAATGAAAATTCTGTCATTAATTACTCACCCTTCATGTCGTTCTAAACCCGTAAGACCTCTGTTCATCTTCAGGACACGAATTAAGATATTTGTTAAGAATTCTGAGAGCTCTCTGACCCTCTCATAAGAGCCTTTCGCACCGCTTTAGTTCCAGAACTAAATGTACAGTTCTAAACTACTGGGACGATTTTGCGCGAACTATTTCCCAGTACCATTTAAAGGGTTGCATTCGCACCAAGAGTGTGTACTAAGAAGTGACATAAGCCAGTCGACAGCGTCGTTATTTGTGCGCGGCGTTCAACAACAGAGACAAATACGCGTTTGGCCAATCAATGTCTACTTACGTCACGATTAGTCCCAGTTGTACTGGTTAGACCCTGCTCCGGAGTAAGAGCTAATTTGGTTCTTGAAAAAGGCAGTCCGGTACTAAAATCGCACCCAGTTCCGGCGGTGCGAAAACACCAAAAAGTGGGTAGTTCCACAATTAGTTCTGATATTATGAAAAGGTTCCCGCGGTGCGAAAGGCCCTATAGACAGCAATGTAATTACCACGATCAAGGTTCAGAAACGTAGCAAGGAGATCGGTAAAATAATCCATGTGACATCAGGGTTTCAACCGTAATTTTACGAAGCTACAAGAATACTTTTTGTACGCAAAGAAACAAAAATAACGACTTTATTCAACAATTTGTCTCCTCCGCTGGTGCCATTTTGGAGAATGTCCACTGAACGTACATATACAGTAGTGAGTAATAGTGATGTTTCACTTAATAAACACTACTAACTATAGTTGTACAACATACATTATGTAAATATTTCTTTCTTTTTTTCTGTCAACAGTCGCTCTGAAAAACCACAGCTGCAATGGTTTGTCAGCAAGCAACAGTAACCATGACAACAGTAAAGCAACGGGATTGGTTGATGGCTGGCTGCATGAAGGAGAGCTCCTACTACAGGTCAGAAGGACAAACGTGTGTGTGTGTGTGTATATGGCATCCATGTGCCTTCATAGCATGTTATAAAGAGACTTTTTAAACAATGTCCTCGAGAAGGAGGAGAAGAGGAGAAAAGAGGAGAGGCTATTTCTGGCCAGCCTTATTCTCGTTTCAGACACTTAGGCATGAATAATGCACATATAGAGATCTCATGTATTATAAAGGAAGGATAAAATAAGAGGTAAAAGTATTCTCTTATTCTATTTTATTTATTAATTTTTTTTACTTTTAAAGTTTTTCTCTGTCCATCCGGTGACTAAGAACTTTGAACCACCTGTCCACTCACATCTGTGTTTTCATTTCATCACACATGCTTTCACATTCTAATTATCCTTTATCTTTCATTCCTGTCTATTTCATCCTTCCTTTCTTCCTTCTTTGCTTCCTTCCTTCCTTGCTTCTTTCTGTCTTTTCCTTCCTTTCTTTACTCCTATTTCTTCTTTCCTTTCTTTCGGTCTGTTTTTCCTTACTTTCTGTCTTCTATCGATACATGCCTTCCTTCCTTCCATTCTTCCTTTGCTTCTTCCTTTTTTACATCCATCGATCCATTTCTTCTTTACTTCCCTCCTGTCATGCTCCTTCCTTCCTGTTATCTTCCTTCTTTCCTTCCTTCCTTTCATGTGCTACCTTTCTTCCTGTTATTTTCTTTTCTTCCTTGCTTCTTCCCTTATTTCCTTCCATCGATCCATTCCTCTTCCTTTCTTCCTTCTGTCCTTGCTTTACTTCCTTCGTTCCTTCCTATCTGTCTATCTATATATATATATATATATCTCAGCTCTGTTGTTTCTCTGCTTCATACTCTACCTCATACTCTCTCTCTCTCTCTCTCTCTCTCTCTCTCTCTCATGCAGTCTCTCCCCTGTGTTGTGTATAGTTGTGTGTGTGTTGTGTGTGCTGGACTGTGAACGATGCAGTGGTACATATTTGATAGTAATGCTTCCTGACTGCCATCCTCCCTCCCCCTCCTGCCCCGCAAGAGCCCCATGTGGGCTGTTCTGCCAACCAACAAGCCGAAATATTTATTCTGAGCGCTGCTACTCGACCATGTTTTCTGAGTGTGTTTGGACCAGGTGTGCATGTATGAATTAGTATGCGTGTGCGTGTGTGTTGGTATGCAATGCAGATGTTCAGGCAAATGAGAGGGATGCTGGAAGACCCTATAAACTGCTGTACCATTCATGATGGGGTAACGCACACTAATTCTGTGTGCGTTACCCCATAATAATATGTAATATTATTGTAATAATACTGCAGCACATTATTATGTACATATTATCTGGCAAAAACAATCACAGATTAAAGGGGAAAAGATGATTTAGTGATTTATTGCTTGTTACCTTATCATATCTTTTTAGGTTAAAGGGTTCAGTTTGCATTTAGAAAGTGTTTGCAACACAAACACAAGCACAGCCTAAATAAAACATTCGTAGGATTTTAAGAGAGCCGTTATTTACACTCAGACCGAAGTACAGTGTTGCACTTTGGGGCTTCTCTGTGAATCTGTTTTTGTTTTCTTCTTATTAATGTTATTAAAAGAACCATTTTCTATGTTGTAGTATTTATAGTAATTTTTTCCCCATGATATCGACATATAATATTAGTCTAGGTTTCAGAATTTAGCAGTAACTTAGTTTTATTTTATATTTAATTTCAAAATATAAATGTATTTCACATTTTTAAGAATGTTCTCAAAAGAATCGGGTACTTGTAAAAAGTGAAAAATTATACCATTACCAACATACTTATTTGACTGTCACACTCAGTGCTTGAGGGTTTTATCGATGGTGGATTTGTTCAGGGACTCCACAGTGTAGCCATACACAGTTGTTTTTGTATTGTCTGTGGATGTGTCAGATTACCATAATCACAGATCCACACTTAGAGCCCACCAGATGGTGATGAGCTGCAAAATCCCCTCCACAAAAATACACACACAGAACAAAATGGCATATGCTAGTGTACTCCGATAACTGTACTTGTAGCACATATAAGGAATTTCAAAAAATGTCTCTCCTTTCAGTTAAATTTAGTTTCAGTTTATGACTAGCTTAAACAAATGACTATTGGACATTTTTCAAAAATTGGTTGATATGCTCTGTACCAACTTCCTTTTAATAGGAAATACATCAACACAGAAAAGAAAACTGTACTTGTCAAGCCATTTTGGGGTTCTTTAAAAAACAAATTGAGAGAATAATGTGGTGATTCATTTAAAAAGCAGGTTTTCAATCAGCTATAGAAGTCAGAAAAAGTCAGAATTGCGAGATGTAATTGTAGAATTCTGAGAAAAAAGTCAGAATTGCAATTGTGATATATAAACTTGGAATTTCTAGAAAAAAAATCTGAATACTGGGTTTATATCTAACAATTCTGACTTTTTTTAACCTTTTCTATTGTTTTATTCTTTGGCAGAAACAGGCTTCCATAATCTTCTTTATGACCAATAACGTAATAATTGTATTTCCTGTGTTTGTTCGTTCATTTGTTTATGGTCACAGGCTCTTAATGGCTTTGTGTTGGTGGTCACTGCGGAGGGGATCATTTTCTACTGTTCTCACACCATCCAGGATTACTTGGGATTCCACCAGGTAATTATCCTTCTCAACAGTCTCTTACATAAACACATATGTATCATATGGCCACGGTTCTAATACTAATCCAGTAGACAGCTGAATTACAGTCAGTATCTTTGGGATATGAATTTTGGGATTGGATTTTGCTATACATTTCCTTATGAAATACCAACAAAACATTTAAATGCAAAATTTCTGAATATTTTGTTTCAACACGTTGATCTTTTAAAAAGTGTAAAAATGCTACTTTGACGCGTCGCTCTTGGTGCAAATAGGCCTTTATTTTGTAGTAGGGCTACTTATGCACTTAAATTACGTCCAAACCAGGCATGACGTAATGAGTTTGCAGGTGACACAGTTTTAATCTGATTGATAAGGATGCCCTGTACGTACACATTCCCAGAATCAGAATTACGTCAGACTCACCTGTTGGATAACCATTCCATACTTCTTCTCACCTCTATTCTTAGTGCACACACACACACACACACATATTATATATATATATATATATATATACTCATCAGATCTGCCTAATGCTGATTAATACTGCAGCGTCTCTCTCGAACAACAGTTTGAATGCGGGAGAAATTGAATGCGCTTAATCAAATAGGCTTTACTCTGAGATTCAGTCTGGCACGGCATAATCCAATTAATTATAATTTACTTATGAATTATCCAACTGAGACGTCACTATATTTGTTTACTTTCTGTGCTTACGATGTCCTCCTTTTGTTCGTATGAATGTGTTTAGACAAGAAAAGAGGGAATTTGATACCAGGTCAAAGTTGATGCAGTCAGAAATAAGCCATTTTTCTGTGAATAAAGTGAATTCAGAGATTTTAAAATATATTCCAGTAGAAAACAATTATATGAAATTGTAATAAGATTTCAAAATATTACTGTTTTTACTATATTTTTTTATCAAATAAATGCAACCTTAAGCATGAGAGACTTCTTTCAAAAACATTAAAAACCTTACAGATACCAAACATTACTTTACATATTTGTAGTTGGTCCTGAAACTTTTTAAAACCATAAAGTGATGCTACATCCTTTCAACTTAATTCTCTCACACTGTCCCTTTTCATTTGTCCTTCGGTTACCCAGACAGATGTGATGCATCAAAATCTGTTTGAACTCATTCATACTGAAGACCAGCAGGCCTTCAGACGCAACTTACACTGGGCCTTGAACCCGCCTCCAACCAGCACGCAGACAGAAGAATCACCACAAGGTCAGGAAATATGTAATTTTATATCATGGTAGCACTATATTGAGTTATTTTTGCCTGAAATTCTGCAAAAAAAGGTCTTTATATATAACATATTTTAATATATGAATTATTCATAACAAATGAATGATAAAAGAACCAAAACTTTTAAGCGAGAGTCTCATTTTTGGAACAAATGAGAGGGGGAGGGTGGTCTGACCTTTAGTGGAAGCTCCTGGAGTTATAATAAATGTTATGGTCACTAAAATGTCAATTTTAATTAAGGATAAAAGCAAACAGAAAGGGAAAAAAGGAAACAGTGGTCAGTGGATAATTCAATGATGACCTCCGGTTGAAAAAGTCTAGACACACTACTGAGTCTCTTAAGTTCTTTTTTGTTTCTCTTAGATGGAGATTCTGCCCCAAGTATGTCGCTGGTGACATGCAACCCTGACCAACTGCCTCCTGAAAACTCCTCTTTCCTGGAGAGAAATTTCGTCTGTCGTTTCCGATGCCTCCTAGACAATTCTTCGGGATTCCTGGTCAGTGTCAAACAGCTAAAGCTTTTATTTTGCTCTCAAACCCTAATGAGTTGCCTACACAGGAACTATGGAAATACTGTTGGAATTTTAATATTAGTAAGATGGAAAATATCTTGCTATTCAAAGTCTCTAAGCCCCGATGTTCCAGATTACAGAGTGAGTTAGCATCTAGGTTAGTGGAGCTAACTTTGTGTTGGATTGCGCCTCTAGCAGCCACAGAGATCAGAATTTTTGGAACACCTCTGTAATCCGTCTTAAAGGAGCAATAGTGTCATGTGGAACAGGTTTTAATTGGTCCTAGAAGAAATAGAGCATAATAACGAGAACCTGTTCTTGTTAGCATAAATTAAAGCTAATTTGAAGAAATCCAGGCTTTAGCTACAGTATGGAGCGCAATAGTGACCACCAGCTCTTTCAGCTGTCTTTATTCCAAAAGTATTTTTCCCATTCATTCTTTTCAGCCAGACAGCTGTCTCTTTTTTTGCTAATCTTGGCATTGTGGTAGTGAAGAGATACGTATGCGTGCAAAGCTCACTACTGCACTAATTCTCTGTACTCTAGCCCTTTATTTCTTCAGTCTCCCTCTTTTACTTTCTTTCCCCTCCACTCCATCTTTACCAAATCCATCTCCCTCAAGAATAGCATGACTACACTTAACTTGTCAGGAGCGGCACGCTAACAGGGGTCTCCCCATGTGTTCAGAGAAATTCATTAGCATGAGCTATAAATATGAGCAACCTCAAACTCTTTTCCATTATGGGTTTGTTTTTTGTTTTTTTGGTCCTTTTGGCATTTTTGAATGCAACTATTATGTTCTCTTGGGAGGTTCACAATGAACACGTCATTATGTCCAATTAGCTTCCATCATGATTATTTAATTGACACACCGCCAACTTGGAAAGTCATGCTGAAAGCTTCATTTTTATTTGCGCCAAATGAAATATAGTTTGACTAACGTTTTCCGTTTGTGTATGTGAATGTGTGTCTCTGTATTAATACTTCACAAAGTCATTCCCGAACTGAGACATTAGCCTTACATAAGCAGAACTACTTTAAATCAGGCATTACACAAGACATCACATAATTTACAAGCCTTAAAGGAACAGCTCACCCAGAAATGAAACGACAACAAAAAATAGGTTATCAAGAGTGCCTTCCAGCCACAAAATATATTGTATTGTAGTTTTATGTTTGTGCATATTCAAAAGTGGCACTAAATTAATCATGGCTAACATACATAAAACACTCACTTTTAGATGGCTTAATCTCCGCCAATCAGAACAAAAGTTGTAAGGTTGACTAACCAATCACAAACAAGCAAACATTCAGATATGACACATTGTGGTCATAGCCTTCATTAATAGATGGCCTGGATTGAGTTCTATTGCTCACACTGAGTCAGAGACAAATTATGTGGTTTGCCAAGGGCACGGCAACAAAATCATTCAGCTCCAGCTGTGTATGTTCATATATTACGTGTATCGGTTATGTACGTCTTTCATTTTTTGCATGTCATATTTTTATTATTCTTGTTTGTTTGCTCTTTTTGTAGTAGTTGCCATGTATTTGAAACATATAATTATTAGATGAAATTCCGTATTTAAATTAATGTCCACTTTAAAACTTTTCATGTTATGCCTTTTTTAAGTTTATTTATTTATTTTTTGTATAGTACAAATTCCAATATTCATTGTCATTTATGCCCCATTAAGGCCCTGAATCTTCAAGGACGTCTGAAATTCCTGCATGGACAGAACAAGCGTTTGGATGACGGAGGCCAAATGCCACCCCAGCTTGCCCTGTTTGCCATAGCGACACCCCTACAGCCTCCTTCCATAATGGAGATCCGAACCAAGAACATGATTTTCAGAACCAAACACAAGTTGGACTTCACCCCAATGGCCTGTGATGCTAAGTAATGATGGACGTTTCTTTTGAAAGAGTTGTAACGTGCATTGTATACAAATGTTTATATATCCATAAGTACAATAGAAAATGATGTAAGAATCACTGATGTTGGTTTTGCCTTTGTTGTAGGGGTAAAATCGTTCTTGGCTACACCGAGGCAGAGCTGCGAGTTCGTGGTTCAGGGTACCAGTTCATCCATGCAGCTGATATGCTCTATTGTGCTGAGAACCATGTCAGGAGTAAGATTTTCAGATGTGTCATTTTGGAGTTTTATTGTTCAAGAAAGTCAAATTCAGCCTAAAGCATCTATGTTGAAAATGCGACTTAACTAATAATGTGATTGACTGAATACATGAAGATTAAGAAACAGCTATGATGAGCTGTCTTTCTGCTGATGCATGCTGACATTGTTGCCAAAGGCTTTGTGTCTAAAATAAACTAGTGACGCTAAAAGACATGAGCAGTGTGCTCTTAGGCAAATACTTGAACAAGTGACAGTATTTTCATTCAGCTTGGTTCACAGGAGGTAATCTATAAATGTTATCACAGGAAGTGAAATCGACTGATATTATCAATTGTATGGACTTTTGAATTCTGATTATTCTATGATGGTCTATGGCAAGAAGTGTAAAAAAGAGACAGACAGAGCAAGAGACAGGAGGAGGAATGTTTTCCCATAATCCCATAGATCAGTGGTTCTCAAACCTGTCCTGGAGTACCCCCAGCCCTGCACATTTTGTATGTCTCCCTCATCTATCACACCTGATTCAACTCATCAGCTCATTAGTGGAGACTGCAAGACCTGAAGTAGGTGTGTCAGATATAGGGAGACATACAAAATGTGCAGCGCTGGAGGTACTTCATGGAGAGGTTTGAGAACCACTGCCATAGCTTATGGAGGAGATTGGATAAATCCTTGATGTTAGAAGTAGAGGGACATGTGAACTAGAGCCTTAAAACCAGTAAAATCAGTAATTCAATATGGAGCCAACATCTGTTAGCAGAAAAAGGCAACAAGGCAGAAAAATCTGATGTGTATGTTTCAACTAATAACTGGGTTTAAACACTGTTGCATTGTCTATTGCAGTGATCAAGACTGGAGAAAGCGGCCTGACTGTTTTTAGACTGCTTACAAAGGACAACCGCTGGAAATGGGTACAAGCTAACGCTAGACTTGTCCACAAAAACGGCAAGCCTGACTACATCATTGCCACCCAGAGGCCTCTTGTGTAAGTACATTATGGCTAATATCCATTTATATTTCTGCACTAACAATTTACAAAATAGATGTAGTTGATTAACATGCTAGTGTTCATCTTTAAACTGTTAAATAGCATGGACGAATTAGCAAAATTTTGGTGAATGTACTTCTTACACATCCACTGACAAAGTTTTTTATTCATTTATTCAGAGAAGAAGAGGGTGGAGAGCATTTGAGGAAGCGATCTATGCATCTTCCGTTCACCTTTGCTACTGGAGAAGCTCTGCTGTACCAAATCAGCTACCCCATGCCAGGTTTCCCCGACACCCTTCAGGGCAAAGGCAAGAACAACAAAACCAAAAAGAACAAGGTGGGCAAAAGTTCAAAGGATGATCTGGACCCAAGTTCTTTGCTGGGAGCCATGATGAGACAGGACGAGTCTGTTTATGTTTGCCAGCCTGCTATGGAGCCTAGAATGTCATTCCACAGTAGCCTCTTCAGTGAGCAAGGAGAGACTGGCACTTTCTCTTCTTCGGCGGAAAATGAAAGTTGGAGTCCAGCGCAGAATGGTGTAACTGCAGTCTCCAAACAGGAACCATCAAGTTTTGACCCACTACTGGCAACATTAGACTCTCTGTCCCTAGAAAATGAGGAAAGCTGTTCCAACAGTGAGCTATTCAGTGCCCTGGAAAACCTGGGACTCATCGCAGAGGACCTAGAGCTGCTGCTTCTGGATGAGAGGATGATCCAGGTAGAGATGGATCCAGATTACATCCCATCTCTGAATGATCTTCTCACCAACAACGAAATCCTCTCCTACGTCCAAGACTCACTGGAGAACCGGATCAAGGACTCAACAGATGCTCAAAACTCTGCCACGGCATTAGATTCTGTTGAACCCCCTAAGCCATGTTCTGCTTCCGATTCCGCTTCTCAAATTACTTCCTCCATGACTGCTTCTTACGTACCTTTCTGGCCACAAAAACAGATAACACCCATAGTTCATCTCTCACAGCGTATGCAGCAACATCTCAATGGCAAGTCGGTTTGCCACAAAACCGAGAGCTGGATCCAGGCACCAAAACCACAGGTGTCTACAGCAGACACTGAGACAACTACGTTTACCCAGCATGATACTTTGTTGGTGAACTCGGTACCAGCTGTACACAATGGACACTGGGTTCCTGAACACACACAAGCCAACTTGAACTCTCAACTTGGTGACGAGATAACAGGAACTAGTAAATCACAATCACATCAATGGCAGCACAACCAGTTGCTTAACCCATTCCAGTATAAACAGAAAACAGCTGTGGGTAGTGATACCCCTCCGAACGGGGTCTACAATGATCCGCAGTGGAATGGATATGACTTCACAGACCAGTTGGACACAAATAGACCTTATTTTCCCAATGGCCAAATGGCACACACACAAACACTGGGTACACATGTTGATTACAATATGACTGACAATTCAGGGGTGGAGTTTACAATGAACATCTGTACTGCTGGGGATGTAGGCCAGTTTCAGGGAGCCATGGCCTCATCTTCATCCTATCAGCAGGGTTATCAGAAACAGCAGCAGCAGCAGCCAAAGGTCGCACCCACTTATTACGCCTCCTATACCAAACAGAACTCCTCTCTGGAGCATATCCTGGGATTAGCCCCACCTTCAAACCTTCCCTCGCTGAGAGATTATGGCTCTGAACTGACCCATGACGCCACCCACAGTAAGGTAAGAATTAAGGAAGGATACAGTTGCGCAATGTGATTTAACCAAGTTGGACAAGCTCCTGGATCAACATCCCAAACAAACATATAACAGCCAAACCTTATCCACAACCCCAAGTTCACCCTCAACTCCTGATCTCAAATAGGAAATTATTGTGGATGAAAATGTTGTCAAGCCCCTAATCCTAAAAACTGATTGGTTGAAACGAATGTTGTCCTAGAACCATCAAGGATGGATAAGGGAAAACCAAAGGTATTGCAGTAACCCAGGAGTGTCCAATCCTACTCTTGGAGGGCCACCTTCCAGCAACGTTTAGCTCTTGTCTTAACTAAACACACCTGAACCAGCTAATAAATGTCTTGAGGATCACTATAAATTTCCATGCAGATGTGTTGGAGCTCAACTCTGCATGAAAGTGGCCCTCCGGGAGCAGGATTGGACATCCCGTTTTTTTATTTACATTGTCAAGGTGGTATAGATTGCTGGCTTAGAAATATTGTGCACTAGAAATTGTATCAAATTGTTTTTAACATTTCACATAATGATAGATACCCTTTTGACCACCCTTCACTACGTTCGATTTTATGTCTACATGCTCTTTAAACAGCTCGGATTGTCTAGTATTGTAGTTTAAAAGATATTCTGGACTCCAAACCATGAAACGCCCCACTCCACCCCCTCCATATTTCTCATCTTTTTTTCATTGGCCTAAATGCTCACTCTGATCTAATTGTGCTCTGTATAAGTGGCCAAGACCTAATAGGTCATTGCTAATGTGCTGAGATTGCATAATGCACAGTGACAGACCTACAATACAAAGTCTTGGCAGTCTCTGGAGATTCGCTATGGGGCCCCACACAGGTGGATGTTTGCTTTGCCTGCTGTGTTGCTTTATTATGGTGACTGTGGTTAAGATCGTAATCTTCAGCTTAAGAGTGTAAGCTTCCAGGTCAGCCCACCAGCATCAGACAGGTTTTTCCGCTATACTGATGGCAGCCAACTGTAGCATCTAGTCCATTGTGAAATGGGAGCCCGAGGCTATGAACAAGAGTTAGAGGAAGAGTAGCCTCCACAAAAGGACCGCTCATGCAGCAGGCAATATTCAGAGACCATGGGCTCCTGTCTGCACTCATTTATCCAGACGATCTTGCCTTTCCGCATGTAGAGCACCATGCTGTGGTTCCACATGTAGGGATTGTGTTTTCTGTAGATGGTTAGCAGTGCTTGCTAAGACAAATTTGGTAAATAACTCATCCCTTGTTGTCTGTGCTACTTAAGAATGATATCTTAAATACTGTGTCTTGTTGAGTACACTTACAATTCACTGGCAGACAACTGAAACATCTAGACCCCAAATACTATCATAGATACTTTTGGTTGGACTGTTTTGACTTGGGCCAGTGTACTGCACTGCAAGGCTGTGGCATTGTGGTAGTGACTTTTGCAATAAAGTGCTGGAGCTACTTTTCCAAAAAAAAAGGAGGTACAGTTAGAAATAGTGCTGAAATTGGAATGGCGAGGTTAGAAAAATGAATCATCAATGGTAAAGCAAAGGGAAAAAGAAAGAGAGACAATTCATTCCAGCGCTACATTCTAGGCTTTGAGTTTTCTGAGTTGTGTGTGTTCAGGGTCATTGCTCTCAGCTGAAAGGAGAATAGAGCTTAAATGCCCAGTTAGGCGTGAGCAGCCATGACCTACAATCCAGCATCAACATTACCTCATGCATACTAACACTACACTGTCATATACTATAACTAGAGGAGATTTGTGATACAGCCAATGATTTACTTATCATCTGCACAACACATTCCTACATTAGCAAAAAATTATGAGTTGGTAAAATAGCATGCACTGACAAATTATGCCAAGTGATGTAATTTTTAAAAGCTTTTACCCAGCTAATCTTTAAGATTTGTTTTGGTTAGCATGTTGTATGTGGCAGTTTGGAATTTGATTATTTTGATGAGTTCCTCCAAAAACAGCATGGAATTAGTTTTTGTTCCTGATTATGATCCTGGTGAATGTATCTTGTAAAGACCTTAAATGACCCCAGCAAACACAACATCTGCTGTCCAGATGCCACTAATCTGCTTAAATAAGCCACCGCTGTGCTAGTTCTATAAGTAAGCTCTGTAATTTGGGTCAATAGCAGAGAAGTTCTTCTAATGCTAATGAAAGGTCATGGTTGCTCGCTGTGGATTTTGTCAATGTTACCTTCAGTTTACTGACAGTTTAAAGAATACTTATGTGCGTTGTCAATAATAAAGCAGTTTAGCTGTACAAAAAAAGAATGAGACTCTTCTGTAGATCTCACTTGTAGATCTGAACCCTTCTCATTATTACATTTTGTGAGATTAGATTTTGGAAAGATGATTCCAGATCAAATGTGTATTGTTCATGTGTATAGTGAATCCAGAACCAACCCAGTCTTGTGACGAGCGCGTAATAATTGGTAAGAGTTAACCAGGTAAATCAGGTAAAGGCATAAAATATTTACATGCAAATATGTACGTGCAAGTTTTGAATTGTCTCAAATTAAGTAAAAATTTTACATTTTGTATGAGCCAACCTGTACAATCTACTACGATTTTTAACATGTTAACTCTAATTATTATGCGTTTGACATGAGACCATGTTGTCCAGAACTTATCATTAATGCATTTCAAAAACCAGTTCAAGAGCAGTTTTGTTTTGTCCATGAAAAGAGATTCTGGAAGCTTACATTGTTGAATGTGATGAGTATATTGTAAAGCAGTTAAAAAAGTTATAGTTTTGTTAGCCAATAAATTTGCACACCGCAAAGCTAGCTTCCCAGACACCGATTACGTTTAGTTTTGGACTAAACTCTGCTATTAACAACGTGAAGAACTTGTGAGCATTTTTACAGTCAGTTGGGCTTCTTGGTCCAAACCCAAGCTCCTTACAGGTCCCTTTTCTTCAATTTGCCTCAACACCACTAGCGCTTTTATGAGTGCTAGCATTAGCCATTTACAGTACATTAGTTACAAATCAGAATGAGAAAATGCATAAAATGGCAGCAGTTTTTTACTTCGACTAGTTGAGTAGATAGTGATTGACCTTTCCCTCAGATATTAAACCATTTTGTTGTATTGCCCTTGGTATTTTCAGTGTTTTCGTGGTTAATTCACTCCAAATCCCAAGAGAGACTGTTGCTACGCAAGACACCTTTTCTTTCTCTCTCTCTTTCTGAATTGCCATCAGTCTGTCAATGGTTATTAGTTCAACTACATCTCACCGACCTCTCTTTTCTTTCCAGCTCAATTGATTTTTTCGGTTTACTGTAAGAGTCTGCTGATGAAAGGGGCAGCCAGCACATAATCCAACACAGGCCTCTGAAAGTAGGTGACTGAGCACCATTGTGTGCCGATGTTTGATTCTGGCCTAGCATCTTTTGTACCCTTCAAATCAGTTATTGAAAAGTTATTGTATTTCTAACATCATAAAAACAAAAGTGCACCATGATGGTATCATGGCAACATTCTTACCCATGATTCTATTCTCATTCAACTAAAGCAACATTCATGTTGTGTTGGAATTTCTGTAATTATGAATTGACAACTCAATAATAACGTTCATAACAACACATGGACCCAACTGCAGTTGTGTTGTTGATAACAGCAAAACAATCAGTCACTACAACAATTCACCTCTATATTGTTTTCCAAAATGTAAAAGAATTAAGCCCGCTAGGAAACATCAGCTATAGTATATCAAACAGAATAACATATTATTTATTACAAGAATTACAAGGTAACCAAATAACTACCTTTCCTTGTTGAAGCTTTGACGTCTTGTCTGTTGTATGATTTAAATTGTTTTAACTGCATTTAATGGATACTGCCAAGAAGGTCAAGATCTCTAAGATTAAATTAAATGACTTTGAAATAATTTAATAATTATTAACGAATAAATAAATGTAATTTAATTAGAAGTTACAAATACAAGGGGAATTAAATTAAAGATTAAATGACTAAAATACAAATAATTAAAAAATTAAGAAATAAATGAATAAATAAATATAATTAGAAGTAACAAATTTGGGCAATTAAAGGTTCAATTAAATGACTAAATTACTTTAAAATGGATGGATGAATGGATGGATGAATGAATGAATTCAGGGGGGAAATGGCGCAAATCAAAAGATCCGTCAGACCTGATTATGGATCAGTCTTTGCTTTCATCTTTCTCTGTTGAAGTCCATACTGCCAAATCTTCATATTTCCACAGCAAGATCAACAGCGCTTCAGACACATGCAATCTCTTCAAAACATTAAATTCTCTCCTCTGTCCCCCTCCACCGATTTTAACAGCTGATGATTTTGTTACATTCTTCACAGACAAAACTAAAACCATTAGAAGTCAGTTCTCAGCTCCATGCATACAGGAACTTAATATCCGCTACTAAAACTATTTTCTCCCCCTTCTATCCCCTCATTGAGGCAGAAGTATCTAAACTTCTCCTCTCCAGCATCCTACAACATGCCCCCTAGACACAATCCCATCTCCACAGCAAGATCAACAGCGCTTCAGACACATGCAATCTCTTCAAAACATTAAATTCTCTCCTCTGTCAATCCTCTAGACACAATCCCATCACACTTTCTCCAAGCAATCTCTCCTACACTCTCACCAGCACTCAAACATATCATCAACACATCTATTCTCACAGCCATTTTTTCCACTGCATTCAAGCAGGCTCGGGTAACCCTACTGCTTAAAAAAACCTACATTAAACACTTCACTTGTAGATAGCTACAGACCTGTATCTCTCCTTCCATTCATAGCGAAAACCCTCGAACGAGTTGTTTTCAACCAGATATCATTCATTCTTTCACAGAATAACCAACTGGATGTTAACCAGTCAGGTTTCAGAAGAGGCCATTCAACTGAGACTGCGTTACTGTCAGTCACTGAAGCCTTGAGGATTGTTAAAGCTGATTCCAAATCATCAGTTCTCATTCTGCTGGATCTATCTGCGGCTTTTGACACTGTGAATCATCAGATCCTTCTGTCCACTCTCTCATCACTGGGCATCACACGATTCCACTTCACTGTTTTGAATCCTATCTCACCTTTCAGGCCTGTGGAGGGGAGGTATCCAAAGCACATCAACTGGTCACTGGGGTTCCTCAGGGATCATTTCTTGGACCCCTCCTCTTCTCCATATACACTAAATCACTGGGCTCCATCATACAGGCACATGGTTTCTCCTGCCATGGCTATGCTGATGACACACAGCTCTATCTTTCATTTCAACCAGATGATTCAACGGTAGCTGTACGGATCTCAGGCTGCCTGGCAGACATCTCAGCATGGATGAAAGAATATCACCTACAGCTCAACCTGGCAAAGACTGAGCTTCTCGTCTTCCCTGCCACTCTGACTCTAGCATGATTTCACAATCCAGCTAGGTTCATCAATAATTACCCCATCCAGTTCTGTCAGAAATCTCGAAGTAATCTTTGATGACCAGCTGACTTTCAAGACCACATTGCAAAAATCACTCGGTCGTGCAGGTTTGCATTGCACAACGTCAGAAAGATCAGGCCCTTCCTAACAGAGCACAACTTCTTGTCCTGGCCCTTGTCATTTCTAGGCTGGACTACTGCAATGCTCTTCAGGCTGGACTTCCATCATGCACAATCAAA